AAACAAATATAAATAATTTTTAATACTATAATGCCTCTGAGAAACAAATATAAATAATTTTTAATACTATAATGCCTCTGAGAAACAAATATAAATAATTTCTAATACTATAATGCCTTCAAGAAACAAATAAATATAATTTCTAATACTATACTGCCTTCGAGAAACAAATATAAATAATTTCTAATACTATTAATGCCTCTGAGAAACAAATATAAATAATTTCTAATACTATACTGCCTCTGAGAAACAAATATAAATAATTTCTAATACTATACTGCCTTCAAGAAACAAATATAAATAATTTCTAATACTATACTGTCTCAGAGAAACAATGCTTTAAACATTTTAGGAACCACATCACCTAAAGGATAAAAATCCTGGCAATAATAGATTCTGTTAATAGAATTGTATTTTTAGCATTTCAGGATGAAATATTAAAAGAACAACATTCACCTACAGTGTTACATACTATTTAAAATCTACACCTAGCAACATTAACAATACAGAGTGATGACTTCTAAGTAACTCCCACACATAGAAACACTACCAACACACTGTGATGATATCCAACAATCTAAATTTATCCTATTTTCATCAAAATTAAGCAATCTTTTCATGAAAATTCTATACCCAACATTTTGCTTGTTTTAAACATCCACACACACACTGATAATTTATCTCTAAATTAATTATTATTTGTGAACTAAATGTACCAAACATTGGTTCAATTTAAACCCTATGAAAATGAAAAGATACAACTGTAAATATGTTAAACTATTCAAAAATACAAAAGGATATCCATTTGGCTTCATGGTATTGAGATCATAAGTCTTGGTTTCCAAGTATTCTGGACCTCCCCATGGAGGGCTGAGAAAAATTACATCTGCCTTGAATGTGGGAATGAGGTGGAAGTAATCACCTACAACAAACTCAATCTTGTCAAGCACACCATAAACAGCAGCATTGTGTTGAGCCAAAGCAACTTTTCCTGGGTCAATGTCAATGGCTATCACTAGAAAACAATATGAATCAAATCTGGCATGATGTTGACTTGGTATACAAATACTTTTAGTAATTGTAGGTATATATCATTAATTAGAATATGCTAACATGTCATTGTCAACTCCAAATTGTGTATGTGAAAGATCATTCACATGTCAACAAGAGAATAAATTCCTGAATATTCTGACAATAAACGGTGAAAGACATTATTGAGTAACTTCAGAAATACTTGCTAATTCTAATCCTTTTACACCACACAGGTTCTATGTTACATTAGTTTGAAAGATATAGCTACCTTTTTGACAAGTGAAAGCAAATTGAATAGCATTTCCTCCTGCTCCACAAAATGCATCAATAATGACATCACATGCACATCTCTTGGCAATATGATGTGCAATTTTTTCTGGTGTTACAGAAAACCAAGACTCTAACAAAGAAAAAAAATGTAGCAGCTGAAACATATTAAGAAATTTTCACATAAAATAGTTGAATGTAACATTTTTTATACATGCACAAGTTAATGTATTACGGACTATCATTTTTACTTCATGCTAAAGATTCTTACAGCTATGACTAAGAACAAACAATTTATAAACAGAAAGTAAAACTCCTGGCTAGCTCTTTCAATAACATGTAAAATAAAAAATACAGATATTTTTGTAGTGGTAAATTAAAAACGTGTATTAAGGTTGCTGCTGGTAATCCACTTCCCAGGGCCATATCCAGGCTGAGGCCAAGGAGGCAATTGCCTCCTCATTTTTTCTCGAATATTGAAGGACCCCCTATAAGGAAAATAGTAACACTGCAAACAAATGAAACAGCATCAGTAGGAAAGCAACTCCAACAGTCAACAAAAGGGCCCCAATTATTTTTTAAATTGCTCTGTATATTATGTATTATTTAAAAATTGGTGTGCATATATCCCAAGTTCCGTAGAGACAGCCCCCCTAACCCCCAGCCGAGGGCCCTGCTTAGAAGGAGCCCACTTTATACCTTAATTTCAAACTGCAAATGATGGAATTGTCCAATTCACTTATATTCAAAATCTATAATTATGCAATGTTCTGCTGTAATTATTTGTTCCTGCAAAAAGGGGGCCTTTATATGACAAAAATTCACTTGGGGAAGAGGACCCCCCACTTTTTCAGTGCTGGATATGGCCTTGTTATATTATAGCAGAACTGCTTCTATTTCATTGTTAAAAACGTGATACGATTCAGTACAACTGAACCCATAAAACTTACTATAATCAAGTCTGATTCCTTGGTTAAAATATGAAAACATTCAGTACAACTGAGATCATAAAACATACCATAATCAAGTCTGATTCCTTGGTTAAAATATGAAAACATTCAGTACAACTGAACCCATAAAACTTACCATAATCAAGTCTGATTCCTTGGTTAAAATATGAAAACATTCAGTACCACTGAGACCATAAAACATACCATAATCAAGTCTGATTCCTTGGTTAAAATATGAAGAGATTCAGTATCACTGAGACCATAAAACTTACCATAATCAAGTCTGATTCCTTGGTCAAAACACGAAAAGATTCAATATCACTGAGCCTATAAAACTTACCATAATCAAGTCTGATTCCTTCATCAAAACGTGAAAAGATTCTATATCGTTGAGCCCAGTACTTTGAAAGCTCTGGAGTAGCTTGAATCTCTTGAGGAATCTGGAAGTCTTCTTGGTTATATCTTTTTTGGGATGATTTCTTTTTCTTTCTTTTTTGGGTTTCCTGTGTGACATCTGCATCTTGCAATGTTTCATTTGTATAAAATAGGTTACGATCAGTAGAATTAGTATTTTCCCAAGGTACTTCACTGGTAAGTGTAGGTTCAATGGATACTTCCACACCATCAGTTTTATCTGTTATTTTACTAATGTCAGTACTTACAGTCCTATGATCATCTCCAACTTTTGTTGTGGCTGGATTTACACTATTACTTTCCCTAGAAGCACAGTTTTTATTTACAAATGTTGTTGTTTTTATGTCAAGACCCAAACTTTCAGGAGTTGATTTATTTTTAACAGAGTTTTGAATCTTTTTTAAAACTACATCATTACTTACACTATGGTTTTCTTCTGACAATGCAATGTCACTGTCGATACTAAGTTTGTTGTAATCACTCACTTCTTCCACATCTTTACCTACACAAGTCCTTGAAATACTACTGCCAGCTAATGGTATGTCTTTACCTAAGCCTAATACATCACTTACTGTAGGTATATAATAGGTTTGGCTTAAATTTGAAGAGTTTTCACCAAGACTAGAAATACTTTCAATTACAGAAGTAAATGTACCCACTATAGACGTTAGTGTTTTTTCTCTACTGGCACATGAACAATCCGGAGAAGGTGGTAACACAAGGTTTGGTTCAATGGGAATATCTCTTCCACTGAAGTGTGAATGATCTAGAGAAGATGGTGAAATAAGGCTTGGTTCGATGGGAATATCTTTTGCACTGTTGTGTGAATGATTTGGAGAAGATGGTGATACAAGGCTTGGTTTGATGGGAATATCCTCTTCAGTGAAGTGTGAATGATCTGGAGAAGATGGTGAAACAAGGCTTGGTTCGATGGGAATATCTCCTTCAGTATGACTACTCAGTTTTCTGTTCCATCTCTCAGTTACAGAATGTAATGTTTCCTGAAACAGAAACAATACTTCTAGTTACTTACAAACATTGCAAAGCCAAAGAAGAATTTTAACCAATATACACAATATTTTCAAGAAATAAATCAGTTAGGAAATAATAGCATACTATCACTCCAAAAAGTATAACACCAAAAAAATTTTACATATTGACATAACAAAAAATATAAATATATAAACATCTGATAACCTGAGTTGCAAAATTTAACTTCAAGACTTTGAAAAATGTAACAATCAAGCCTTCCCTCTTGTCATTATTTGTTCAACCAAATAGAGGGTTTTCCACAAGTTAATGTAAAGGAAAGGTCACCCCCCTCCCCACCTGGAGAGACTATGGGTAAAAATGGGAGATTTACAAAGAGCGACCCTGTCATCACATAGCATTAAAGAAATGCTGATAGACTGTTCACTGCAAAAATATCAAGAGTGGGAAGAAACCAAGCAGTCAAAGTGAGGTATCCCCTTCAGAAAGGAGCTATATTATGATAACCAAATAATTCACTGATAGTGCTAGATAGAAAGAGAATCCCCTTCAGAAAGAATCAATAGTTTGATAACCAAACAACTCACTGATAGTGCTAGATAGAAAGAGAATCCCCTTCAGAAAGGAGCAATAGTTTGATAACCAAATAACTCACTGATAGTGCTAGATAGAAAGAGAATCCCCTTCAGAAAGAAGCAATAGTTTGATAACTAAACAACTCACTGATAGTGCTATGCAATAAACTTCGTTACCCATAAGTTGAGTAGTGTCTCATAAAATAATCAATTAATATAAATTATGATTAAGTCGATTAATGTCACAAAAAACAATCTTCTAATCAAAATTAGTGTTTCCAATTATTACTTTTTTATTCCAACTATTAATTAAAATTATTAAGTTGCAAGTCATGAAAATAATCAAAACCAGTGTTTCAGATTATTAATGTTTTAGAATATTCCAATTATCCAGTACTCAAAATATTGCCATTATGTTTGTTTGTTGTTAAGTACAAAACTACACAATGGGCTATCTGTGCTCTGCCCACCATGGGTATGAAAACCTGACTTGTAGCATTATAAGTTTCTTTTTTAGTCAACTCATGTGAAAATCATCAGTTGTTTTAACCATCTTGTGAGAATAATCAATTAGTTCAATGTAACTGATTAATGGGCGTGATGGTTAATCAATTAGCAAATTTCACTAACTGCCTCACTGATAATTGGATAAGGTGTAATGTATCACTTCTTAATAATCACTAGATCAACATGTACTAAGTTCACATGTCTCACTGATTATTGGATAACTCAGATGAAATTTATTACAACTAACCAATTATTATACGAGATATATTTACTAATCATTGAGTTATACTCTTACTAATCCATGAATCAAACACATGTGAAAATACAAAGAATAAGTTTCAGAATGTACTACCACATAGTTACTACAAAAACACAACAATGACCCAACCGGAAGCTGACAGTCAACTTCAGGATGTATGGAGTTTCCTTCTTCATCAAACCTTAAGTGCATTGGTTTCTTAGAAGACTTTTTCTTTTTGCAGTGCATGGGTCTAATCTCTTTTCTGAAAAATGTTCGGACAATTTTTGGTAGAGAAGGGTCACAGCTGCTGACAACCAAATAAAAAACATATGAATAAACATAAATCATAAACTCTAAAAATTAACAACAAAAACAAATGAACTATAAATAATAAAAATAATGTAGATAACCATAACAAACAGTTAATATAAAAAATTATTCACACAAACAAAACAAACCATAAATATTTTATGATTGAACACAATTTCAAGAACTTCCTAAAATGTTGCAAGAAGGAAAGCCTGTCCTTATTCTAATAATGGCTGGAGACAGCTTAAATGGGTAA